ACGAGGGTGGATCCTCCACGCCGTGAGATTGAGAGATTGTATGTCGGGATGGTAAGTTTGCCCCTGATGCTGGGTGAGGTGTGGGAGGAGGGGTAAACAGATGGAGATGTTCTAAACATCGTGAACCATGGTTGTCTTGGCCACCAAGGGGCTATCAGAATGGCACTGGAACGGTCCTGTCGCAATTTGACAATGGTGCGCAGGAGAAGTGGGATAGATGGAAAGAGATACAGGAAATGCGCATTCCATGTTGCCATGAGAGCATCGCCAAGGGAGCCTCGACCCAGGCCTGCTCTGGAGAAGTACTGGATGCATTTGGTGTTGCTCGCTGTGGCAAAAACGTCTATGTCTGGACGACCCCAGTTGATGCACAGTTGGAAAAATATGGTGTCGTTGAGGGACCACTCATGCATCTGAGAATTCAGTCTGCTGAGAGAGTCTGCTAGTTGGTTGCGTTGTATGGCAATGTGCACCGCTATGGGGAAGATATGGCACATTAGGCATGACTGCCAGGCCCTCAGCAGATACAGCCATCCAAACTGTGTGACCTTCATTATCTTGTTATTTAAATTATTTCCCGCCTTGTCCCACCTTTTCAGCAAAAACATCCAGGACTCATAACACCCCAAGAAAGTGAGATTTTTTAATAGAAAAACAGCACAGAAAAGGCCTCGTTTTCCTTCAGCCTGGACACAGACGCAAGAGTTTGTTATATTATTTTCAAACAGAACCATCCAGTCAACATTAGGAAACTCTGCTGCCACGAACTGCATCTATACAATTAAGTACTTTTAAAGATACTTTCCCAAGACACAGTCTTACAAAGCAACATACAAACAAGAGTACAGTCAGAAAAAAGACACAACAATCATCAATCTGAATATCTATGTCCCATTTAGTACAGTCACAATATAGCACAGTCTGGAGGGGAGACAGCAGGCTATGGGCAGTTATATCATTTGGTCTAGGATTTCCAACTTAGAAGAAGAGCTCCCCCTAGAATAAAAATAACTGAATGTATGTTATTATAATTTGGGCCCATAATGGGAAGAAAAAACTTTTTGAAGTAATTTGGGTCCATAATGGGAAGAAAAAACTTTTTGAAGTTTTTGAGAGCCAAAGGAACAGGAATGTGTGCGTGTGCACTTGTATGTATGCCCGCATGTGCAAGCACACACGCCCACCCTCTGCAGATGCAGATGCAGCCACACACGCATGCTCCCACCCTGCACACATGTATGCCCACCTGCATGCACACAGGCATGCACCCCCACCCACCTTACGCATGGAACCTGCATGCACGCCCCTCATCCGCCTGTCCCCCCGTGCTCACTCGCGAATGGGTTGAAGGTAACGGGCTGGACAAAATGGCAACATAGGCTGGATGTGGGCCGTGGGCCACAGTTTGGAGACCCCTGATCTAGACTCTTAGCAGGGTCATCTAAGTAAAAATGCTGAAAGCCAAAACCCCAGACTAAGATGCACCCATCCTGTTCAGGAGCTAGTGAGCTCAACAGCAGAAGAGAATTAAAAATTCCAGTGATGATGGAGGTAGGGAAATTCCTGAAAGGCAGCTACTGGGCAGCAGAAGTAGTGGAAGTGACTCTGGTACAAACCACAAGATGATGATGATGATTATGATCATCAGACGAGCTGCACGGATTTTGGTTAAAGCATCTAACAAGTCTCCCTCAATGTACAGCAGTGCAATTTAACCACTTACTTCAAAATTCTACAACTGAAGACTGGATGACAACAGGTCACACATTTCTGATAATAAAAGATCATCAAAAGGGCTATGAACCCAGTAATTACTGACCAACTACATGCCTTCCAACAATGTTCAAGCTCCTCACAAGAGTATTTGCAAGATCTATATATAAATACTTAACTGAAAACTCCCTATATCCAACTGAACAGAAAGGAAACTTTAAAAAGTCAAGAGGCACAAAAGATCAGCTGCTTATTGATAAAATGATCCTGAAGAATGCAAAAAGACAAAAAACAAACCTTAACATGACCTGGATAGACTATAAAAAAGGCATTTGACTCATTGCCACACAGCTGGATTAACACCTGCCTAAAAATGATTAAGCGATGAGAAACCTAGACAGCATCTTAAAAAGCAGAGACATCACCTTGCCGACAAAGGTCCGCATAGTCAAAACTATGGTTTTCCAGTAGTGATGTATGGAAGTGAGAGCTGGACCATAAAGAAGGCTGACTGCCGAAGAATTGATGCTTTTGAATTGTGGTGCTAGAGGGGGCTCTTGAGAGTCCCCTGGACTGCAAAGAGAACAAACCTATCTGTTCTGAAGGAAATCGACTCTGAGTGCTCACTGGAAGGACAGATCCTGAAGCTGAGACTCCAGTACTTTGGCCATCTCATGAGAAGAGAAGACTCCTTGGAAAAGACCTTGATGTTAGGAAAGTGTGATGGCAAGAGGAGAAGGGGGCGACAGAGGCAAGAGATACAATATTGCATCTCAGCTCTTCTCCTCTCTGTGTGTGTCCAACTCATCTAAAATTAAATTGACCCATCCTTCATCTATTTGATTCAAAACTTATTGTCAGACAGATGCTGCTTCCACATTAATGGTGCTATCCTTATCTTGCTAGCTGCCCAACTGACCTATGGTCTAGTAAGTCCACACCTTTCAAAATATTTGTGGTTAGAAACTGGACTTCTGTAACAAAAGCTGTCATATACTATCAAGTTGTTTCCTATTTATGGAAACCCCAATAGGGTTTCTGAAGCTAGTGGGATGTTCAAAGAGTCCAATGAGCTCCCACGGCCAAGTGGGATCTGCAAAATATTGTTTTAGCCAAGGGAAAACAGAATTTGGTTTTGGAGCTGATGTGACAGACCTCCATGAGTTTTTTTTAAAACTCTGGTAGGATTAAGGAAATATTTAAGTGACTCAAGAAAAAGTGATGTGTGTCATGTGACTGCTTTTATAGAGAAGGAATGGACAGGGTGGCTTCCCTCTTTTGTTATAGATTACTAATTCTGCCATGCCCATTATTCCTCATTTAAAATTATCCCCCGTTAGATAGCCGTGATGCATGCTTGGGACCATTCAGCTCAGATGAGTTTAGTATAGAGAAACAAACTGAGCTGATTTACATTTCTGTTCACAAACACAATCCCCTCCCCCGCTGTATGTCTGTTTCATTGTGTGGCCAAATCAGAGCTCACTCCACATTTAATGCTTGCCACTGCAGAGAGCTTTTTCAAAAGGTGTTGGCAAAGAAGCACCACATTTGTGCAGAATGGGATCTGGGTACACAGTGAAGCATCAGAAAGCCTACAGGCTTAAATGTGTGTACATATTTATAATTATTTTACAAACAAACAGAAACCCTGTTAGTGCAATGCTGGTTTTAGGGGAGGCAATGTTTTAAAATCTGCACATTAAGACTCTCTCACCCCTAACAGGGAAAAACATAGTCCCATAAATAATCCAGAGATAATAAAAACATTATACGGGTCTATCACAAAGAAAAGAAACTTTAAAGTTAAGGCTGGCCTTTAAAAGGCAGGCATGGCAGGAAGTGAGAAGAAAATAATTTAGTGGGCCTCCTGTTGGGCAACTAGTTGCATTCCATCATCTCAAACTGAATTGACTTCTTGCCACTTCTTCACACATTTTGTTGGGCTTCCTTCTTCCCTGTTGCTTTATTAAAACATATTCAAGTTCACCTCCAATTCAGTGAGCACATATTATTCCATGTTGTGCCCCAAAATGCAGATGGGATGCTCCTGCAAACTTCTTTGTTGAGAAGTTCTCTATTTAAGAAATTTCACTGATGGCTAACCATACCTTTTTGATCCCAACTATGTGGCTCACATGTTCACCAGAACTACCAGCCATGGGAAATCAAGCAGCCATAGCATCCAGAAACCCAAATGAGAGAAAATTTAGACACCACTGATACTTTCTGTATTTAATTAGACTCACAGAGGTGGTTCCTTAGTAAATACATGCATAAGACAGTTCCTCAGTATATAATGACAGGAACCTGAACATACAAAACATTTCAAATGTAAAGCACCAGAGTGGATTTCATTTAAATCACAATTTAAATTTTTAAAACTGGATGTTTTTGACTATTTAAACCAAAAATAGTTTTTTTATTTTAATTGTGATTTAAATCAATTTGATTTTGTAAAAAAAAAAACACTGATTTTTATTCACCCTGAAAAGTCCTGTGTTTGAGTCAACATCTGCCAATAAGGAACTTCAAGTGGAATATCAGGTTGCAACTGTGCCAAATGCAGAACAAGAGTTATCAGCACTTTATATATGAATGTTCCAAAGAACTGCAGAGGTGAAGGGTCAAAACTAAGTTGGTTCAGTTCTCTGATACACTCCTTTGTGGGCTTCAAAGAATCATCTATCCAACCATTTAACCTAGAACAAGACACTCTACCAAAAAAATAGAGCTTCTATTGAAAGATACAGCTTCAGCCTACATGGCTCGAGCTAGCATGTCTTCTCACAATACCAGTCTTTGCGGCAGCCAGTTCCCACATGGTCTGCCTCCGATTATACAGAAAACCTAAAGTTGCCACAGCCATTGCTTTCAGGAGGAAGAAAGCAACAACAGCAACAACAACAAAATAAGCAAAGGAAGCCAGGCTAGCAACTCCACATTATTTGCATTTGGAGCATAGACGCCAAGCCAAGAGAAGAAGAGAAGCTTGGCAAAGTGTGTTCACCTGCATGCCACGACACCAATAATAGGAGCAGCAACAGCAGTGACTGGATCCCGACCAATCCAAGCTGAACAGATAAAGTTTGTTTACAGCCCAGAGTCCTCTTTGTTGCTCCGTGCTAAGTAGGTGGGGCTGAGGATATGGAGACGGACCTGGGGAGTGAGTTGCCTACTCTGCAATACAACTGCAAAGATGTTATGGGACAGCACTTCCAACTGATATTACAGAAAGAAGCAAACGGTTTAGCATTTGAAAATGTCAAGTAATAAGGAGAACTTACCATCATAGTAGACAATGGCACCAACTAGTTTGTCCTTTTGCAACATGGGAAAGAGTTCCAGGGCTCTTGATTTGCTAAGCACATAGCTGCTTTTCAGACACTGGCTTCCCGCTACAAGGTCGTAGAGTTTAATTCCTACCCAGTAGTATGGCAACTGCCACCACCTATAAGAAGAGAGACAGAAACAGAATAGAGCAGAAGGAAAATAAAGAGTTAATTCACATAATACTTCTATTGCTATAAATATCCTTCTTTCCAGAGGATCATGAGAACTGCAGGTGTTGTCCAACAAACTTAAGTTTGTTTAGACTTGTGAAAAACTCATGTTATCATCGCAGCTACTCCCTGAAATTCAGAGAATGATTTCTTCTAGCCAGTGTTAAGGTACCTTAGAAGGATACAACACAGGTGAAATGACACTCGTCCATCATTGTATTTGGTTTTATTGTATTTTATGAGCCTTACTGTGACACGTCTTCAACTTCTGAAAAGAATCACATAATAGTGAAGTAGGAAGGGGTCTATAAGGCCATCAAGTCCAACCCCGTTCGATGCAGGAATACAAATCAAATGATATCTGCCAAGTGGTTGTCTAAGTTTCTCTTGAATCCTTTCAGTGTTGGGACACTCACCACCTTCTGAGGTAATTGATTCCACTATCGTACTGCTCCAATAGTTAGGACATTTTCCCTCATATTCAAGTGAAATCTGGCTTCCTGTAACTTAAGCCCATTCTTGCATGTCCTGCTCTCTGAGATGATCAAGAACAGACCCTGGCGTTCCTCTGTATAACAGCCTTTCAAGTACAGGGTTTCCAGCCTTGCTGATAATCCTTGTTGCTCTCCTCTGAAGAAGTGTGAAGGGTACATACTTCTAAGTATCTACAGATATAACACTTCCATGGACTGAAACAGATTGCAGTCTAGCTGTACCAAGAGGAGAACAACCTCTCCCTTCCAACTGCAGCCCTTCAAGTACAACCCTAACTCTGGTGGTATAATGATGAGTGCTGGACTAGGATTCAGGACACCACCACACCGAACCCCTCAAACGCCTATGGAGTTCACATCCCCGCTTGGTGCGAGACTCACTGGGTGACTCAAGACCTGTTACATCCATTGAGCCTGACGTGCTTCAAATGTCCATTGGGAGGATGGAACAGGGCGAAATATGTGTACAGTCTTGAGGTCACCAGAGGAAAAGTGGGATAGTTTGTGCCCTGCTGCTTCCACCCAATGTGGTCTCTGTGGGAAAACCTTCCTCCAATACTTTATCCATTGATTCCAGATGGTCTTACTCTATAACAAATGGGTTTATTGATACAATGAAATGAGGTGCAACAAACCCAGGAATTCTCTCCATTCTTAGGAACGTTCTCAGAGGCAAAGTTCATGGCACTTGCCCCTGGGGTGACTCAGCCTAGTCGGAACCCTTCCTCCAAGATCTCTACCCAAGCACCTTCCTCCTCCATCTCTGAGGCCTCCCTTAATGGGTGCAGGTGTCTCTCATCCTCTGTGGAACCCCTTGGGTAACCACCAAAGCATCTTTTATGGATCCTAGCTGGAAGACAACGCCATTCCCCTCATCATTCCCCAGGTGGATTCAATCTGGTGTGACCTCCTCCTCCCCCCAGGCCAGTTGTCCTAAACCTGCACCTGCTTTGGACCTAGTGAGGGCTTGGTCTGAGTACTCTGCCCGGGGCCTGGTGCCAATTGCCCGCTAGGGGAAACCCTCTAACAGAGAGAAATATAACAACAAATAATAATAACTACCACAATCATGATAACAACTAGCTCTGGAAGGCTGGGAAACCTCCTAAAACATCTTTCAAATAGCATGGAGGGTTGAAGATGATGGGAAGAATATTCTGCCATTACAGGCAGAAGAAGGCTGGATTTAGTCCTCAATTACAAGTATAAAACTCCCTGTGCTAAATTAGTGTAGTGCCAGTGTGTAGTGATCCTAGGACTAAGTGTGAGTGTCATACTGGACAATGAGAATAAGATCACGGGCTATCAAGACAAGCTAGAATCTGTAGATCAGTTTCACTCTTGAAACTACACTATGGCACATGGTAGAACAGTAGGTAAGAATAGGAGTTAACTGCCCTTTTTTCAAGTCTCATTTCAGTAGTATACTTGCTGGGTAACCACTGGCAAAGTGTGGGTCTGATGAAATATGCAGACCACATTTATACTTTAGTGAGTGCTCCTTCGGATATTTAAGAACTACAGAAAAGAGACAAAATTCATTTATTTGGATGATCCATTTTAACACTTCTGTAAGAACATCCAAAGAAGGGGAGAGACAAAATGTTTAGAAACAAGACTTAAGCATGCATGTTGCATAAATTAAATGTTTCATTAAAGCCATTGCACTTGTTGTCCACATGGAAGCTGCCTTGTCATTTGAAATTGGTAACCAAGTCTAAGTTCAACATGAACCATGCCAGTACTGCAATGGTACTGCTTGGTGTCATTCTAATGCCTGTTAGTTCCTACAGTGCCAGAGGATTTTGTGTGTGTGTGTGTGTGTGCGCGCGCACACACACACACACACACACACTGCAACAGAATGTGCATTATCAGTAGAAACATTTCACACTTCCATAAGACAATGGCAACATGTTCACCACTCCAAGAAAAATAAAAATACAAAATACAAAAATCAGGGATAAATCCTTGTACTGGCTGAAAAGCACAGTGAAGTAACAAGCATATTAAATTTATCTGCAATGACATGATTAAAAAACATACTGACATTCATATTAGCAGCGTAAGGCAGAACAAATTTTGAGTGACTTACTTGTAAACAGGAAGCATTATAGGCAGAGGAGAAGATAAATGAGGTGCAATTTCAAGCAAGTTGGCACGTTCATGAAGGGCTTCTTTCACCATTCTGTACTAAAGAAAACAATGCAGAATCTATTGATACTGCCAGACAGCACTATACTACCTCTGTTTTTAATGCATTCATATGGACCTTAATTAAAGGGTAAAAGTCCAAGAACAAAATCTGAACAAGTGTCTTAGGAATGATGTTTCTGAGCAATATATGGTAACCAAGACATACTGACTAGTCTTCTCAAGACAAAGCAGAGGTAACTGGTACACTGTTCCACAAATGGCAAACTGAGTCTCAAGATGTATAAAAACCTGCTTTGCCAATATTTTTATACATCTTGAGACTCAACCTCTCATTTGTACTTTAGTGTTCTCAAGTACAAGAAAACGTAAGTATCCATTCAATGATCTTATGTCACAAATTATTATTCTACACTAAAAAAATCCCTCTTTTTAGTGGGCAGCAAAAACCACAGAGACAGTGATTCATATAAGACTATGTATTTTAGTGGAATTTTCTAAAGTAACTTGTCACGAAAATATTACGTTGGACAATGGAAGATCCTTCATCAAGGTAAAGCGGGAAAATCTAAGCAAGTTAATAATGATGGAAAAGACTTGTGGCAGTGAGGGGGCATGAGTTTAGAAAGAAACTGTGAACCAAATGTAGCAATCATTTCATATACAATGGTGCCCCACTTAACGATTACACTGCTCCACGATGAAATCGCTCCAGGACGATGCTTTCGCGATTGCAAAACAATGTTCAAATAGGAAAACACTGCTTGACAATGATCGGTTCCCTGCTTCGGGAACCGATTTTTTGCTTAATGATGATCAGAAAACAGCTGATAGTCGGGATTCAAAATGGCTCCCTGCTGTGCAAAATGGCTCCCCACTGTGTTAAGGATGAATTCCTCGCATTACAGGCACCACAATATGGCAGCCCTATGGAGGATCTTCGCTGGATGGTGAGGTATTTCACCCATTAACCGGTTTTTAATGCATTCTAATGTGTTTTTTTTACTTTCGCTTGACGATGATTTCGTTGTACAGTGATTTTGCTGGAACGGATTATCGTCGTCAAGCGAGGCACCACTGTACAGCAGAACTATAGACTGGGCTTAGAATTATCTATGCTTCTGTTACTATCAACACTGTTTTTCCTTAGTTCACAATTTTTACTTATTTATCACTCTACTGAATTTGTCTTAATGAATGTGACACAATTGTTTTGTAACGCCATGGCACACCATTAATGGCGCAAGTTTCCATTTTTGCTGTATCAATGAACTGCATTATAATCCCAATCAAACAAAATCCAGTTCCCAAGAAAATATTATATTATGATAATCTATAAAATGAAAAAATTGATGCCTTCAGTGCATGTAACAATCTAGTCAATAGCATGAATCCTTCAGTGGGCCATCCCTTACTTGACTATGACACTCAACCCTGTGCACTGAAATGGATTGTTGAGCCTTTGATGTACTTGTTTTTATTTACCGCTCACAGGTAAGATGAGGTCAGAATGCAATCAGATGCAATTAAACACCTATATCAGGGCTTATGTGCCATGCCATTCTGACTTTATCCAAGAAAAATTATCACACAAGTGTGTGCCCCTTTCTACATGGAGTAGTAGGGAACCATCTTTCTGCCAGTTTCGGGTGACAGTATATCCAATGCCATCACTACTGAAGATTATTTCTCTCCCATTGCAGAATAGTTCCCTTTTGAAGAATGCTGGATAGCTCAGTGATTTAGGCATCTGGCTATGGAGCCAGAGGTTGGGAGTTCAATTCCCCACTGTGCCTCCTTGACATGGGCTGGACTTGATGATCCACAGGGTCCCCTTCCAGCTCTGCACTTCTAAGATAATTATGTGCATAATACACTTTGTAACAAGCATGTCTTGTACACAAGCAAAAAAGTGTCCCTGCTGCTTAATGTCAACTTTCATTATATTTCCTTCCCCAACGTGACACGTCACAGTACCATCTTGACCAGTGAGTCTGAGCAACAGTCTTGTACCATACCTACCCCACTGCGAGGTTCTTGAAATCAACCAGATAGATATTCACTGCAATTTTTTTTTCAATTTAAGATGCTTTTGTGGCACATTTCAAAATGTAATTTCTTCCCAAAGTGACTTGCAGTAAAAACACTTGTAACGGAATCCAAAGATGATGTCATCTTCAAAATGTAATTTCTTCCCAAAGTGACTTGCAGTAAAAATGCTTGTAACGGAATCCAAAAGATGATGTCATCCCTGCCTGTCAATCAGAGGATAGAGCAGGAGGGGCGGAGCAAAAAGGACAGTTAAGACAGCTGGAAGAGACAGTTAAGGAGACAGCTGGAATGAGATAGGGATAGAGTTGGAATCAGGGAGAGATAGAGAGAGTTAGGGACCACAAGATGTTGAGAAAGTGTTAGGGTTTAGGAATAGATAAAAAGGGGTTCAGAAAAGAAACTGAAAGATTAAAACACACATGTAACAGGCAGAAATGAACTTATAAGTAAAACATGGGAGAAACTGATTTAAAGTACACAAGAGCTCTGAATACCAGTGATTGAACACATGATTTATTATACATGAATACCTGAACCAGTTATATATTGATTTCCTTTTTATTTGTTCATTAATAAAAGAATGTTTAATTGAAAACCTGATTCCTAAGTTATATGAGCAACTCCTGTGTGTGTGGGACCTGAATTGGTATTAAGAGAACACCTGGTGGCAGCGAAAAGGGCGCATTTACCTTTGTAGAGCCCAAAGATATAAAGGGCACAAAGGGGGATCGCCACATATGGTTGGCAGCGTGGTGGGATTCAAAAGATAATCCAGTGAGCCACAAGATTTCAGTAAACCAAAGAAAACTTGAATTTCCTGAGCTTAGGGAACCTAGTAGTCTGGTGCTACCAGGACAGGAGTGGGACCCTTGAAAGTAGCTTGGTGAAAAGCTTAAAAAGGGACTCCTGAGGCAGACCAGAGAAAGACTACAGAAAGGGGAAGCTCTGAGGAGAATTCAACAGTTCAAGGTTTACCTCAAGATTGTGAAAGACCAG